ACCTCTCCTTATTACCTAACAGAGGGTGTACACCCTGACCTCTCCTTATTATCTAACAGAGGGTGTACACCCTGACCTCTCCTTATTACCTAACAGAGGGTGTACACCTGACCTCTCCTTATTACCTAACAGAGGGTGTACACCTGACCTCTCCTTATTACCTAACAGAGGGTGTACACCTGACCTCTCCTTATTACCTAACAGAGGGTGTACACCTGACCTCTCCTTATTACCTAACAGAGGGTGTACACCCTGACCTCTCCTTATTACCTAACAGAGGGTGTACACCTGACCTCTCCTTATTACCTAACAGAGGGTGTACACCCTGACCTCTCCTTATTACCTAACAGAGGGTGTACACCTGACCTCTCCTTATTACCTAACAGAGGGTGTACACCTGACCTCTCCTTATTACCTAACAGAGGGTGTACACCCTGACCTCTCCTTATTACCTAACAGAGGGTGTACATCCTGACCTCTCCTTATTACCTAACAGAGGGTGTACACCTGACCTCTCCTTATTACCTAACAGAGGGTGTACACCCTGACCTCTCCTTATTACCTAACAGAGGGTGTACATCCTGACCTCTCCTTATTACCTAACAGAGGGTGTACACCTGACCTCTCCTTATTATCTAACAGAGGGTGTACACCCTGACCTCTCCTTATTACCTAACAGAGGGTGTACACCCTGACCTCTCCTTATTACCTAACAGAGGGTGTACACCTGACCTCTCCTTATTACCTAACAGAGGGTGTACACCTGACCTCTCCTTATTACCTAACAGAGGGTGTACACCCTGACCTCTCCTTATTATCTAACAGAGGGTGTACACCCTGACCTCTCCTTATTATCTAACAGAGGGTGTACACCCTGACCTCTCCTTATTATCTAACAGAGGGTGTACACCCTGACCTCTCCTTATTATCTAACAGAGGGTGTACACCCTGACCTCTCCTTATTATCTAACAGAGGGTGTACACCCTGACCTCTCCTTATTATCTAACAGAGGGTGTACACCTGACCTCTCCTTATTACCTAACAGAGGGTGTACACCTGACCTCTCCTTATTACCTAACAGAGGGTGTACACCTGACCTCTCCTTATTACCTAACAGAGGGTGTACACCTGACCTCTCCTTATTACCTAACAGAGGGTGTACACCCTGACCTCTCCTTATTACCTAACAGAGGGTGTACACCCTGACCTCTCCTTATTACCTAACAGAGGGTGTACACCCTGACCTCTCCTTATTACCTAACAGAGGGTGTACACCTGACCTCTCCTTATTACCTAACAGAGGGTGTACACCTGACCTCTCCTTATTACCTAACAGAGGGTGTACACCTGACCTCTCCTTATTACCTAACAGAGGGTGTACACCTGACCTCTCCTTATTACCTAACAGAGGGTGTACACCCTGACCTCTCCTTATTACCTAACAGAGGGTGTACACCTGACCTCTCCTTATTACCTAACAGAGGGTGTACACCTGACCTCTCCTTATTACCTAACAGAGGGTGTACCCCTGACCTCTCCTTATTACCTAACAGAGGGTGTACACCCTGACCTCTCCTTATTACCTAACAGAGGGTGTACACCTGACCTCTCCTTATTACCTAACAGAGGGTGTACACCTGACCTCTCCTTATTACCTAACAGAGGGTGTACACCTGACCTCTCCTTATTATCTAACAGAGGGTGTACCCCTGACCTCTCCTTATTATCTAACAGAGGGTGTACACCTGACCTCTCCTTATTACCTAACACAGGGTGTACCCCTGACCTCTCCTTATTATCTAACAGAGGGTGTACACCCTGACCTCTCCTTATTATCTAACAGAAGGTATACACCTGACCTCTCCTTCTTATCTGTCTTCTCCCTCTAGAGCGTACTCTCCATGAGCGTAAGGACCCCATAAACATTTGCAGAACAATGGAAGGCTCCAGTGGACCATGGGCCAGGGCCTGAGCCATGGCAGGGAACCTTCACTTGAGGGGTGTGGAGGCCCCCTGTGGCTCAGACCCCCGGGTGGGCGGCCCCTCTGCCCCGGTCCGCCCCGGCTGCCCGAGGGCAGCGCTCCAGCGCCAGGGCCCCTCCCAGAGCCAGGCAGGTGCACCTCCGCTGCAGCAGCCACAGGGCTCCGTCTGCTCCATGGCCAAGCAGAGGATCAGGCAGCTAAAGGTCTCAGCTCGCCAGCGCGCACTCTCAGCCTCCCCTGGCTCAGTCTTACAGAACTGTTTCACGGTATGCTCCTTCTTAGCTTTACTGTAGGAAGAGTTACGTTCTTTTTCAGGGGAGAAACTATTTTCACTGGTTCTAGAGTCCCTTCTTCCTGACATGAAATTGCACAATGAAAATATGTATTAATTGGTAATGCTGAATATTATTGAACAAATGAAATTAAAATGCATTCACTAGCTGAAAGTGCTTCACTTTGCTACAATTCACCAGTTAAGAATAAGCAAAAAAAAAAAAAACTCTCATATTCTTAGGCAGAATGCTTTTTGGATCCTCTAGAGATTCTGGAATGGCTTTCGGATTCTCAGTATGTCTAACAAATGTGATACTCTCCCCACCCCCACCCTTCTAGTAAACTCAAGGCTTCTCTTCTCAGCAGGAACACAGGGCACCTGTGTCTCTCACACCTCCTGGGCACCAGATACTTGCCCGAATGCTACCCGTTACAAGAGGGGGCAGTGCCAACTATGCTGGGTGAGGACCTGGGGTTATTAGGTCCGTGCTCGGTGAGTGGGCAGGGAAGAAAAAGAGTTCACCGATTTGGGCGAGTGGGCAGGGAAGAAAAAGAGTTCACCGATTTGTCAACAGCTCAGTAGAGCATAATGTCATAAAGCCAGCAAATCTCTGATAACCAAATCTCTTAAAGACCATATAAAAGGAACCTTACGGTACAAGCTTACTGATCAACTCAGATGCAAACATCCTGGGTTATTAGAAAAGAAAAGCAGATGACATGACCGTCAGCTTAGAAAATGAAAAGAACCAATGCAACAACTCTGCATCAAGATTCACTACAGGCTACATTGAAGATACAGCCACATAAATCAATAAAGCTTCTATGTATATTCCAACAATGATTACCAAAAAATTAATGAGGCGAAGAAAGATACCATTTCCAGAAATCTGAAAACAAAACAACTGATCGATCCCTGACTGGCAGACACACCCAAGCACCACACACACGTTTCTGGAGAGGGAACCCCCATCTAACTTGAAAGCAGCAGGATCCAGGCTTCCCAAGAACAAAGCCTAGGCTTCACCCAAGTGCAGGCACCTCCTGACAAGTCTGTTTCGTGGGACGTGGGAATCTCTGACTCATGGAACTCAAGTGACTGGAAAATGTCTCTCCAACAATAAGCAAATAAAATGACTTTGCAATTTTTTTTTTTTTTGAGAAGAAAAATGACAGGGAACTGACAGTGAAACAGAAAACAGTAGAGTAAAACAAAAACAAAAACACCAGACTCCAGACCCCAAAAGGCCTGCAGGGAGAGCACAGAGCAGGAGAGAAGGTGTAATTAGTCAGGAAGTGACCCTGGAACACCTGGTGAGTGATTATGAAAAAACAAATTCAGAGCCTCGTTTTATATCATGAATTAAAGAGATAATCAAAAAGTATAAATATTAAGACACATGAGAAAACACAAATCTTCATCTCTCAAATCTCTGGACAAACCACAGAAAAAAAAGACTGGTGGTGCATAAAAATTCCAGTGTATAAAAATTAAACACCTAGGCAAGTCAGAAACCAAACATACTTAGAATTAAAAAACTGAAAAGATACAAGAAACAAATAATTATTTAAAAATTGGCAACTATACAGTGCATGGAATTCTCTAGACCCGAATACTGAAGTGGGTAGCCTAACCTTTCTCCAGCAGATCTTCCCAACCCAGGAATTGAACCAGGGTCTCCTGCATTGCAGGCGAATTCTTTACCAACTGAGCTATCAGGGAAGCCCCCCAAAATTGGCAGATGTCCGTAACGTTAAGGGAGTACACAAATTAAGAACACTCAGACTCCGTCTATGGAAATCAGCAAGGGCTCAAAACAAATCCTGGGAGAAGGTGTAGGGGAGAGGGCAGGGACAGTGCCCACCGCAGCTGAAACCTCAGGATGTCCACACTGGCCCCTGTGCCAGGAATCACACTTGGGAACCTGTCCCACAGAGATGGCCCGAAAGACAGAAGAAGTTTCTGGCACAAAAACGTTCACTAACGCATTTATCAATGTCAAAGACTGAAACTGAAACGTACCATCTAAGTTTAATGTCTCAGTGAAGAATTTCAACTACTACATCATTACTACACTTACTTTTAAGTTTTACAACTTAGGGAAAAGATGACTTTTTCAGGAACCACTACTGCTCATTCAAAGTTACTCCATGCTTCCACTCAAAGTCCCCAGCACTGTCAGCCTCCATCTGTCCCTCCCCGCCCTGGACAGACTAGCACTCTTTCCCTGTTCTGTCATAACAAGGCACCACCCTCGGGCAAACCCAGGCCAGGCTCGTCTGCATCAGCTCCAGCTTTCAGCATGACCCCTAGGTACAATTTCTGCTCTTGTTTTAAACACTGTTTTAGACAGCCCATAAACACCACCTGTCTAAGGGCAGGATGCTCTCCATGTCCACCCTGTATCAGGACGAAACTAGCCTACCCATTCAGAAGAGTCAGAGAGACACAGAAGACTAACAAATACTTCTGGAAAAACAACAGTGAATCATATCTTTTAGATCAGAACACAACTCTCCAGCAAAGAGTGTCCTCTGTCCCTGGTGTCGTGAGCTCACACATGTGTGCACATGCAGGTATGAAAGCCACATATCTGCATCATTATTGCAGTCTCTGTTCATGCCTTCCAAAGGCAAAACTGCTTTCTATCCATAAAAGCTTATCCCTAGTGGATGCTGTGGTTAAGGCCAAGAGTCTAATACTTTCAGATACATTATATGATAAACTGTGCAGTACCTGCCACTGAATTCTTAGATCGCTGCTTTGACGTCTTTGTTGTCACTGACCTGGATGCTCTGGTGGAAATTTCAGCCTTTAAAAAAAAAAAAAAAGGAAAAAAAATTAATTGATGCCCCACATAGCAACCTCATGCATCATGAGCAGATTTATTATTCAAGCTCAAGGAAGAAGCCAATAGGAAACATGACAACACCCAGATGCTCTGAGAGGTGAGCTGAAGGCGATCAGTGAGGCAGGACCTGAGAGTGGGGATCAGAAGGAAGCTGAAACCTCCTTCATTCTAAACGCAGAATTCCTCATTTCTTGTACAGCCCTAAAAAGGTCAGCCACCTCCTGACCATCCCTTGAGAATCTCTGTCTCATCTGCTGAGTTTATGAGGACTCGGCCTCTGTTGATACAAGCTTGATTATTTCAGTGTGCTTGTGAACAACTCTGAGAGTACAAGCCTACTCAACACTGTGTAAACAGGAGACAGCACCGGCCGACCCTCTGGCAGCTGGTGCAGTTCCCCACCCGACCCCTCTCTCAAGCTGCCATGTGGACCCCTAACCAGCCCCGCAGCGTCCACTCCATGCCCGGATACACTTTCTGAGATGCAGTTTGGATGATGAAGTCAGGGGGAGTCTAAATACCCCCAGAAGGCATGGCCTGGACCGTACCCCATCCACAGGGAGCAAGGTGCAGGGTCCCCCAGAGCCAGGCGCAGCAGGACAGGCCCCTCCAGCCAGCCCTCCGTCCCCATCTGCCTAGTGACTTAATCCCCCCACAATGACCTGAAGAGGCACCCCACCTGCCCCCACACCATGCCCCGATCGCTCTGCACGCCACCCGTCATACCTGTTAAACAAAGGTACAAGGAGGCCCTGGAGCCTGCCCCCAAAACCCAGAGGATGCACACGCCCCATCTACTTCACAGGCAGGAAACCACCGACACCGTTGCTCTTACAACAGAACAAACGTGGGCCCCCGCGGTGAGGCTCCGGACACCAGGGAGGACCAGGGCACAGCATGTCCTGTTTCAGCACAGTTAGGGGTTTACATCTCTTGTAGTTACTTTTCAAATTTTACCTCTGTTTCGGCTTTGGGGTCTTTAAAAGATCCATCTGATAACTTTTTAGACATCTCTCCTGAGCTTGATGACTGTAAAAAAAAAAAATTCAAACTGTAGAATTACTCAAGTCCATAACATCTAAAAAAGCATCAATACGCTTTCTCTAAGGCTGACGGACAGCAAGACAAAACCCTCACATGGGAGCACCAGCACCATGCCCCAGCCCCGACCCCCAGCGGTGGCGGGGCAGCCGGGAGGCCACGGGCTTCAGAGGCAGGGCCCGGGGGGCAATGGCAGGGAGCAGCATCTCCCGGACACCTGGTCACTCCACCAGGCCAAGCTTCCCGCAAACGTTCCAGGGACACACAGGGGATCTGGTGCGGACAGGAGCTCCGACACCCAGGGCAACATCCCAGCTTCCGAGAGGAAACCACTCTCACTTCCCGATGGAGCAAAGGCTTCAGACTCTACAACAGGAATGCACTCTCGAGACAAACATGACGTGAAAACTATAAGAGGTTAAAGCAACACCTTAGGAAGCCTTGCGCTTAAGTCAACTCTCAGACACGTGTCAACATAAGGAGGAGCGACACAGCTGCTGAGATTTTCCTCTGTGAAAAGCGATGGGTGCCTGCTCAATATTTCAACAATTCAGTGTCCTCGGGACTTCATTATGAAGCGGCAGACTGCATCCAAAGCAGTTCCTGGGTGGGCCAGGCTCCGTGCCCAGGTCCCCCACCCACAGCACTCAGCTGCCCACAGACACACAAGGAGGGAGCACCCCGATGTGGCCACTCCAACCTCACACCTCCACTGCCACACAAGGACACACTCGGGGGTTCACAGGCTAAGAACATCTCACCAGCGTCTCTTCTACGTCAAGGGATCCAATCAGACCACCTGGCAGGACCTGAGAGCCATCTCCTCCTCCCAGCTGCCCTCACAGAAGCCTTGGAGCTCGGGCCTCTGGGGGACTCCCGGGGGAGAATACCGCCAGCCCCCTCCCAAAACCCTGCTCCACAGAGGAGCCCCAGACAGACACAGAGGAGCCAGGCCAGCAGGATCACCACGACAGGTCTGTGCACACCCACTCGGGCAAAGGACGACCAGCTGGGAGCAGGATCGGTCCCATCACCCTGTCTCAGACGCTCACTCACCGTCCAGCACAGCCCGGGAGTCCACCCCTAGCAGCAGGCACACCACCAGCAACCCCGGGGCACATCACAGGGGGGACCCCGGGTCTGAAGGCCCAGACGGCAGAGAAGGTGCCCAGGCAGGGGCTGCCTTGCACAGCAAAATGCACGAGAATGTCTGAGCGCCACAAAAAGCCAGGTCAGAGGAAAAGACTTTCCTTAGACCCCATTTAAACAGAGGCAAAAAAGGGGGGGGTCTCGGTTTTGATGACACACACAGCATGGTGGGCTGCCTGACTTCTGGACGTTCCTGGGAGGACCCCAAGGCTCCAGCGGCATGCTAGCGTTGCCAACAGAACCACCAAACGACCAGCTTCCAGGCCGAGCGCTGGGCTGCTCCCAGGAGCCCGCTCGCCTCCCGGGGCCACAACCCGGGGATGCCAAGTCACAAAACCAGATGGCCATGGCGGCAGGACAGAGGGGCTCAGCCTGGCCCCTCGCCAGCTGCCACCCCCTCCGGTGGACCTTGAACTGATCCAGACCTCAGCTTCCTCCTTCCCAGTGGCTGGAGAATTTCCAGGGCCGTTCCAGGACACTTTACAGTTATGCAACGTCCCCCAAGAACCAGAGTCCACGATGCCAGCCCTAACAGGAGGCTTACCGTATCTACAGAGACTCCAAAATAACCTGAACACCTAGGGTAAAAAAAAAAAAAAAACACTGCCTGAAACCAAACAAATTTTCTGGAAAATCCTAAATTTACCAGAGAACTTGAATTGAGCAGGAATTCAGTACGGTGGGGTCTCACTGTACTCAGCGGCTAATGCCTCTGAGACTTAGAAAGCAGCCCTCACCCTGAACGCAGGGGGCCAGGCCCACGGCCCCGGGGAGAGCCCCCCACACGGTGGGCGGCCTCGGAACACCGCTCACGAGGCCACGGGGTCCGCCGCTCCCCGGCAGCCAGAAAAACACCCTGACACGCGTGCACACGGCAGACAGCGCCCTCGGGTTCTGGAGGGCTTCGGGCTGGCCGTGGTTTTAGGTCGGGCGATATAACGAATGCCGTTTCCTTGCCACACGGCAGCGAAAAGCGGTCTGAGTCCTAAAGAGGAGCCCGTGACCTCTGTGGGCGGGCGGCGTAGGGGCCCCGGGGCGCGCACCTTCTTCTCCGGCCGGTCGCGCTCGCGGCTCCGCTGGGGCTCGGGGTCCCTGCAGAGCTCCCCGTCGCGCAGCCTCCTCCGCTCCCGCTCCCCCTCCCGCTCCTTGCCGCGCTCCTTCTCCTTCCCGCCCTCGCTCCGGCGGCGCTCCGCATCCTGGCCGCGCTCCTTCTCCTTCCCGCCCTCGCTCCGGCGGCGCTCGGCATCCTGGTCGCGCTCCCGGGGGCCGCGGTCGCGCTCCGCATCCTTGCCGCGCTCCCTCTCCCTGTCCGTCCGCGCCCGGCTCTTGGCGCGCTCGCGGTCCCCCTCGCGGCGCCTGTCCCGCTCGTTCTCCTTGGCCTTGTCCTTGCCCCTTTCCTTCTCCCGGGGCTTGCTTGCTTCTTTTAATTCCTCTTTCTGTTTCTGATCTCTGCTTGTACTTCTCTCGTTTATTTCAGAACTTCCTCTATCCTGGGAAAAAAGCCAAATAACAACAGCGTCACTTATAAATTCTCTACCTGAACCACAAAAGGCCCCGCTATTTTAGACACACGTAACCTGCATTCACCTCTTTGTCTTTCCGGACCCTGGACTCGTCTTCCTTCACGTTCTTATTATCCAGTTCCTGGGGTCTGGACGTCAGTGAGGGCCGTCGTTTCACATCCCCCTTCTCTCCGGCCAACACCCTCTTCACCGCGTCATCACTGGATAGCTGGTCCCAACGGGAGGAGATAAAATGCAAGATTGCAATGAAATGAGTTCGTGTAATACACTTGAGTGTCAGCAAAGACTGCTCATTAAACGGACTCTTTGTCTCCTAAAGAAAATGAATTTTATCACAGACCACGTAGGGCATCGCCTAGAACTGTCCCCTCCAGCATTTCCAATCCTTAACACCAGAGTCCACTCAAGCTAAGCGCACCCCACTTCCCTCCACCCAAGCGTGACCATGTGTGCTGTCAAGGGCGTCGAAGCTGCCCCACACCTCTCACAGGGTCACAGAGCCCGGCCTAAGCAACGATCTCACTGTAGCCCCATCAGATGCCAAAATCCCCCGGGCAGCGCCCCTGACTGCCCCCGGAGCCCCCACACACTTCCTCTCTCCGCCAGCCTGCGCTGAGTGCTGTAGCACGCCGGGCACTAGACCAACAAGAGCCAAGGCCACGCTGCGCACCAGCGAGACGGCCAAACACAACAGCCAAGTCGGTGCAGCGTGCCGGAGGGCCGTGACGGGGACCCCAGGAGGACCAGCCGACCCCAGACGCTGCCGGGGAGGCAGCTCGGCCCTGAGAAACCGGCAGCGTGAGCGAGGGAGCGGGCAGGGCAGGAGACCTGGGGGCAGGCACCAGGGGGCCGCAGAGGGCGGAGGACCGGAGGGGCGGGGCTTCGTGAGGCGCCAGGAGGATTCGTGGGAATCACTGGTCAGATCTGCTTCTGGAAAGGGGGCGTGGAGCAGGATCCGGGGCAGCTGAGTCACTAAGCCTTGGACCCACCGGGCGGGGGTCTCCTGCGGCCCCAGGAGCCAGTCTGACCCCGCTCCCCACTCCCTGCCTGCGGTGTGGGCTGGAACCCGCCTCTCCCACCTCAGCAGCGTGGAAGGCGAGCCCCCAGCCTCCAGCCCATCAAGGGCTGTATTCGCCACGCCCCTGACAAAGGTCCAGCTCTGCTCCACTGGGAGCTACTCAGATCCCAGGAAGGAGGAGGACCCGGGGGGGAAGACCTCCTCCAACGGCCCCAGAGGGACAGCAAGGCCAGAGAGGCCCAGATTCGAGCCGGTGGTGAGGACCCCAGGAAATCAGCCCCCGCACGAGGGCTTCTGGGTTTCTGGGAAGGCAGCAGAGCTCACACACAGCCCGCCAGGGAGAGAGAGGGGAGGGCAGGCAGCGGGGCAGGGCCGTAAAGGCCAGTAGAAAACAGGGACACCCCCAGTAAATCCCACAGCCGGAGAGAAGCAGCTCCTCTGGCCGCCCCGCCGCCCGAGCTGGAAGCACTCACGGGCCCTGAAAGGGGGCCCAAGAGGAGGAGGAGCGTAGGGCTTGGAAGGCTGGACACGCAGCCTCCAGCCATGTACCCCCCGCAGGGTGCCTGGGGCACCCCAGGACACACCGACAGTTCAGGGAACCTGCGCCCAGCACTCGTTCATCTGTTCACTGCTGCTGCTGCTGCTGCTGCTAAGTCACTTCAGTCATGTCCGACTCTGTGCGACCCCACAGACATCAGCCCACCAGGCTCCCCCATCCCTGGGATTTTCCAGGCAAGAGTACTGGAGGGGGTGCCATTGGCTTCTCCATCATCTGTTCACTACAGAGCTTTAAACCACGGCTGTAAACCCCAGGCTCCAGGAGAGGGGGGATCAGACGGCAAGGACAGGATTAAACCCCCTCCTCCAACTGCACACTGCCCGGGGTCCCCGGCGTGTCGCCCTCCCGGGGGTGCACAGCTCCCAGCTCCAGGGCAGGTGCTACCTTGCTGAGACAGCACTTTCCGATTCTCTGCAGCAGCTCGTTGGTCCTTTCGGGCTCGTGCCCGGCCACGATCCGAGCCGGTTTCGCCGACAGCGGCTCTCCAGAGACAATAACCACCACATCTATGGCCTTCTGCAGGAAGCTAATTTTTGCATCTTTATCCTGAAAGATTTCCATTTGAAAGACAGATATTAAAATATTTGAAAAAGAGCTTGCACTATCCTAAGGATGTTCAACAGGCCTAATTTCCTGTTTGGACAAAAAGCTATTTTTAGGTGCGTGTCTGATTTAGAACTCCTGACTCTCTATAACCACCACCACCAAATAAAAGTTCAGTAAAGCTTTGTGATGGGCTGGCACCCCCCCCCTCCTCCGGAACACTAGCTGCATTTCTGAAGGCTGACATAGCGTGCCATGCAGCTGCTGGAGGAAGCTGAGGTGAGGAGGGCATGGGGCACTCCCGGAGCCACCAGCCTCGTGCTCCAGCCCCAGGTCAACCCAGGAGCAACAGCTTCTGAAGTCCATGGGGAGAACGCCTCCCACCTACCTTGACGTTGTCGGACTTCATCTCGACGTCTGTGTAGAGGCCCTTCATGAAGCCCGTCATCCTGATCACCTTCAAAAGAAAAGGCGAGGCCACCACAGTCAGCACCCTAGGACAGCCTGGGGCTAAGCTGCGCCACCGCCCCACGCTGGCACCAGGCTCTGTCCACACCCAGACATCATCCGTCCACTGACATGACACGTGTTCCAGCATTTGCCACGTGCGGGGGCCTTGTCCCAGGCAGAGTCCGCCTGATCCTCATGAAGTCAATCTGGCTGCGAGGACACGTAAACACAACAGAACTGCAGGGCGCTAAGTGGGCACAGGATCTCCCCTGATGCAAGTGCAGGAGGGCCCGCAGTGTCCAGGAGCACTTCCTGGAGCAAAGCCTATTCAAGCTGAGACCAGAGCAGAACTGGGGAAGCACATGCCAGACCAGATAAACAGTCCCACAAGGTCCAGGGCCAAGCAGGTCCGTTCAAGGGGCAGATGGCCTTCGACAGGATAGGCCTGAGGCCAGGGAGCCAGCAAGGGCCTGACCCAGATGGCCTTCGAAGCCATCAGGAAATACGGACTCAGCCTTAGGACCACAAGGAGGCCCCGAGAGGTCCAAAAGCAGAAACAGGCATCTTTGGAGGGTTGCTCAGAGCAGTGGAGAGCAAGGATCTGGGGAAGAAAGGGGACTTGCCGGCCTGGGTTTCTCCACACCACTGCATCAATCACTTCCTGGGACCAGTGGGGCTGGGGGGTGGTCTGTTGCCACATCACTTTTTTTTGGTCCCTTCACCACTCCCTCTCCCCAGTCAACCTGCACCTTCCAGCTACCCCTTAGTCAGGATTGGGGGTGGTGATGCTTTCTGCCCCTTCCCACCCCCAGACACACCAGGGCCCTGGGTCCTCTCAGACCAGAGGTTCTCTTGTGGCAGGTCACTATAAAGTCAATGCAACGGGTAGCAGTAAGCCTATTTTTAAAAAATAAAACAGATCGGAAAATATCAGACTACCCTCGTATGTAGTAAGGATGAGTATGCCTATAAGTGTGTAAGTGTGTGTCCTGGTGGATATAAAGACTACTTATTACCATAAGACATGCTTTTAGAAAAAAAAGAAAGAAAAGACAGTGCCACACTAATACCAAGCTCCTTCTTTAAGACAAAGCTACAACTAGCTAGCTTATACTCCTCCAACTGCTCAACAGCTGAGCTGTTATTTTCCCTAGTAAGACAGGTAGCACATTAAGAGTTGTTGTTCAGTCATTAAGTTGCAACCCCACGACTCTGCAACCCCACAACTGCAGCACGCCAGGATTTCGTGTATGAAGTGGAATATTAAAAGCATCTAATGTTCCTAGAACTTCTTCATTTTGCTCCTTTTGATATTTTTCTAGTGTGCTTACAGTGTAAACTTGCAAGCAATCATTTCCAGCAACAAGAGGCATTAATTTCACAGGATCAACACTTCAATTTATGAAAGATACAGAGTTAGCTTAGCAGTAACTAAAATTCTAAAATATGGCAATTTGAACACGATACTCAGGAGCAGTAAAGAATTTTGCTAAGAGAATCACCATATATTATTTGAAAATGCTTTCCATATGTCAATTGTTCTAACATCTTTATAAAAAAAGTGACAATTAACATACTTTTCTTTACACAGGTAGAGACATTAACTTTGACCTTAGATTAGCAAAAAAGCAGACCAGTAGATCCTGATGGGGAACACGGAACTCCTTCCCCACAGTCTGGCTACCTGGTAACGGAGTCGATTCCTGCCTGAACTCTCCTTCCACCTCCAACTTTGCAGGAGGTGGGGACAGCAGCCACCATGATAAGCCCACACCAGGACCCACAGAAAGAGGCAGCACCCCCCCCTCCCCCCCACCGCAGCCTCTTTCCTGGCTTTCTGGTTTCAGTGAGAAAACAGGACTAACACAGAAAATCAAAGTGTCAGGCTGGGGCAGCAACCGGTGTGGTCAGCCACTCACCACCTGGCTAAGTGATTGGATCCCTCCTGGGTCAGAGGATACCACCTGCCCATTTCACACGAAGAGGTGATGCCACTCAAGGCCTGGCTCCCCCGAGAGGCTCCCTACACAGCCCCGTCCCTTCCCCAGACACTGTCCAAGGCAGTCTAGGTGCTGCACTAGCTTAGGAGGAGAACAAAGAGGCCAGTCAAGACAGCCCTGGGGATGTGGGTCAGTTTTGAGAGTTTTAAGCACAGCTTATGAGCACAGAGAGGTCCGCATCATAAGCTAAGTTAAGAGAGCAAAGACAAGTAAAGCACAGTTTGTGGAAGAGTAAGATGCCAAACCTGTTGGAAGGATCGAGAAGTGAAGTTTAAGGACCAATATGGGCAAGAGTAGGAGCCCGGGATATCTGCAAGTTGAACCTGATTCCTGAAGTCTGCAGAGCATGCCTGGGTTCCCAAGGGCAACGCCACACTTGGGCGCACCATTGAAATGGGCGCTGACACTGGACTGACTCCACTCAGCAGTGAGTGTTTGCTGCGCACCTTCTGTGTACCGTGCCCGGGACGTGCCAACAAACAAGTCTCCATCACTCAGGAACCCGCCAACCAGCGGGCAAGAGAGTGAGACAACTAATCTCAAGGCATGCTCTGCCATCCATCAGCAAATACAGCCCTGCTCTTTTACAGTTACATCCTTCCAGGTCCCCCAACAACCACCTTCAATAAATCCACCCACAGGCATTGGTTAAACATCCAATATGGGGAAGAGCTGACTCATTGGAAATGACCCTGATGCTGGGAAAGATTGAAGGCTGGAGGAGAAGGGGATGACAGAGGATGAGATGGTTGGATGGCATCACCGACTCAACGGACATGAGTTTGAGCAAGCTCAGGGAGATGGTGAAGGACAGGGAAGCCTGGCGGTGCTGCATGCAGTCCATGGCACTGCGAAGAGTCGGACAGGACTTAGCGACGGAACAACAACAATGAGGTGACCACAGCAGGAGCAGGTGGAGGGAAACTTGGGTGGGGCGCTAACAAAAAAATAATGTCCTTCTTCTGAGATTTGTAAGCACTCTCCATGTGCCAGACACTGCAAGCGGGAAAAAGTCACAGAAACAGCCCTGCCAGGCTGAATGGAAGATCTGCTCTCAGAAGAGTGGGGCAGGGCGGAAGAGATAAGAATGCTCCCCAGGAGCCGGGACACTCCCGGGAACGGTGGCCCAGCGGGTCATCCGTCCGGCTGAGGCCGGGATCCTCGGGCAAGGGCAGCGCTCGGCGACGCGAGGTCCGATCCCGACGCCAGCTTTGGTCCGAATCCCCCAGCCCCCGCCCTCCGATTCCCACCCCAATACCGACCGAAGATCCGCATCCCGGTTCCCGGCCCGCACCCCGACACTCGACATGGGCCCCGACCCCCGGACCTGCACCCTAGCCCGCATCCCGGCCCGCACCCGGTCCGCGCACGGGGACCCGGCCCACACCGCTGTTCCGATCCCGGCCCGGCGCTCACCTCCGTGATGATGTCGTGCAGGTAGCGGAACGGGGGCTTGTTCAGCAGCTTCTCGGTCAGCGGCGGCCTCCGGATCACCTTGCCCAGAGCCTCCTGCGTCCGCTTTACCACCGCCGCGTTCATGGCCGCGCCCCGTCAGCCGTACAGCCTAAGCCCCGCTCCCCGGCCGCCGCCGGCCCCGCCGCCGCCACCGCCACCGCCGCCGCCCGCTCCGGCCTCGGCGCGCCGCTCGGGTTCCCATCCCACAGTGCACCGGAGTCCGCCCAGGCGCGTGCGCGGGGCCGCGGCCCTCGGTCGCCAGGGGCGGTGCGGCCTTAGCAACGGACGCGCCGCAGGGCCCCGCCCCCTGCCCGGCTGCGCGCGCGCGCGCGGCGGCGCCGACGCGGGTGGGGCTGCGTGCCCGCGGAGTGACAGCGCTCAGGCCCCGACGCTCTCAGCCGCCGCTAGAGGAAGATGCTTCTCCCGGCGGGACTGAGGAGACGGCCGGAGGACTGGCCACCGGCCGCAGCGCTTCCAGGATTCCCGGGACCTGTTTCTCAGGTTTAAGGCGAACTGGACTAAGTTCTCTCGAACGACGCATGCCCTTTCCTGTGTGCTACTTAATACGGCTTCCTGAGCGAATATTAATGTCTCTGCTAGCAGAGACATTACTTTGCCAACAAAAAGTTCGTCGACTCGAAGCTATGGTTTTTCCAGTAGTCATGTGAGAGTTGAACTCTAAAGAAAGCTGAGCGCCGAAGAATCAATGCTTTTGAAGTGTGGTGTTAGAGAAGACTCTTGAGAGTCCCTTGGACTGCAAGGAGATCAACCAGTCCATCCTAAAGGAGATCAGTCCTGAATATTCATTGGAAGGACTGAAGCTGAAACTCCAATATTTTGGCCACCTGATGCGAAGAACTGACTCATTTGAAAAGACCCTGATGCTGGGAAAGATTGAAGGCAGGAGGAGAAGGGGACAACAGAGGATGAGATGGTTGGGTGGCATCACCAACTCAATGGACATGAGTTTGAGCAAGCTCTGGGAGTTGGTGATGGACAGGGAGGCCTGGCGTGCTGCAGTCCATGAGGTCGCCAAGAGTCGGACACAACTGAGCAACGGTAATAAACTGAGCGAGTAACTCCCTTTCTCTGAGCCTCTGTTTGTATAAAGCAGGGAAATCCGTGCCAGCCTACCTAACTCCCAGGGAGGTGAGGACCAAACGATGTGCCAGGGCTGTGTAACTAGCAGGAAGCCACGCCCTTGTTCTGCCGGGTGTTCGTGGCTGTGTCCCATGTGTCTTCCCACGCCGCGCACAGGCTCACAGCAGGTGCTTCCCACGCCTTGTGGCCTCTTTAGTTCTCCTCCTGGATACCTTTGGGCCTCCATTGTGGCTCAGATGGTAAATAACGCCTGCAATGTGGGAGACCTGGGTTCAATCCCTGGGTGTGGAAGATCGCTCCAAGAGGACATGGCAACCCACTCCAATATTCTGGCCTGGACCATCCACATGGACAGGGAAGCTTGGCGGGCTGCAGTCCATTGGGTCACAAAGAGTCCAACACGACTGAGCGATTAAGCATGATGGAAACCTTTATAGTTTTTATTTACATTCATTTTTGCCATTTTCAAAGTGCTCCATATTTTATGTTCTTTGCTCATGATGTATCTAGATGTGGAGTTTTTAATTTAAAATTCATATCTGATTATTATTGACATTCAATAAAATTCACCCATTTTACATGTAGAGCCTGATGCATTTTGGTAATTATATACAGTTGTGCTATCACCACCACCACCACAATCAAGATACAGAACATTTCCAGCACCCTAAAACATTTTCTCCTGCTCTTTTGCCATTCATCTCCTCTCGCATGAACCCCAGGCAACTGCAGTTGCCATTGTAACCATGCCCATCAAAAGATGAATGGATAAAGATGTGGCACATATATACAATAGAATATCACTCATCCATAAAATGGAACACATTTGGGTCCGTTCTAATGAGGTGGATGAAACTAGAACCTATTAAACACAGTGAAGTCAGAAAGAGGAAGATAAATATTATATTCTAGAGCTAATACCCAAAAAAGATGTTCTTTTCATTATAGGGGACTGGAATGCAAAGTAGGAAGTCAAGAAACACCTGGAGTAACAGGCAAATTTGGCCTTGGCTTACGGAATGAAGCAGGGCAAAGGCTAACAGAGTTTTGTGAAGACAGCGCACTGGTCATAGCAAACACTTTCTTCCAACAACACAAGAGAAGACTCTACACATGGGCATTACCAGATGATCAATACCGAAATAAGACTGGTTATATTCTTTGCAGCCAAAGATGAAGAAACTCTATACAGTCAGCAAAAACAAGACCAGGAGCTGACTGTGGCTCAGATCATGAACTCCTTATTGCCAAATTCAGACTTAAATTGAAGAAAGTAGGGAAAACCACTAGATCATTCAGGTATGACCTAAATCAGATACCTTACAATTTTACAGTGGAAGTGAGAAATAGATTTAAGGGACTAGATCTAATAGAGTGCCTGATGAACTATGGACGGAGGTTCATGACATTGTACAGGAGACAGAGAGCAAGACCATCCCCAAGAAAAGGAAATGCAGAAAAGCAAAATGGCTGTCTGAGGAGGCCTTACAAATAGCTGTGAAAAGAAGAGACATGAAAGGCAAAGGAGAAAAGGAAAGATATACCCATGTGAATGCAGAGTTCCAAAGAATAGCAAGGAGAGATAAGAAAGCCTTCCTCAGTGATCAGTGCAAAGAAATAGAGGAAAACAACAGAATGGGAAAGACTAGAGATCTCTTCAAGAAAATGAGAAATACCAAGGGAATAGTTCATGCAAAGATGGGTTCAGTAAAGGACAGAAATATTGTGGACCTAACAGAAGCAGAAGATATTAAGAAGCGGTGGCAATACTACACAGAAGAACTATACAAAAAAGATCTTCACGACCCAGATAGCTCACTTAGAGCTAGACATCCTGGAATGCAAAGTCAAGTGGGCCTTAGAAAGCACTACTACAAACAAAGCTAGTGGAAGTGATGGAATTCCAGTTGAGCTATTTCAAATACTAGAAGGTGAGGCTGTGAAAGTGCTGCACTCAATATGTCAGCAAATATGGAAAACTCAGCAGTGGCCGCAGGACTGGAAAATGTCAGTTTTCATTCCAATCCCTAAGAAAGGCAATGCCAAAGAGTGCTCAAACTACTGCACAATTGCACTCATCTCAGACACTAGTAAAGTAATGCTCAAAATTCTCCAAGCCAGGCTTCAACAGTACGTGAACCATGAACTTCCAGATGTTCAAGCTGATTTTAGAAAAGCCAGAGGAACCAGAGATCAAATTGCCAACATCCGTTGGATTATCAAAAAAGCAAGAGAGTTCCAGAAGAACATCAATTTCTGCTTTATTGACTATGCCAAAACCTTTGTGTGGACCACAGTAAACTGGAAAATTCTGAAAGAGATGGGAATACCAGACCACCTGACCTGCCTCTTGAGAAATCTGTATGCAGGTCAGGAAGCAATAGTTAGAACTGGACATGGAACAACAAACTGGTTCCAATAGGGAAAGGAGTACGTCAAGACTGTATATTGTCATGCTGCTTATTTAACTTATATACAGAGTACATCATGAGAAACACGGGGCTGGATGAAGTACAAGTTGGAATCAAGCTTGCCAGGAGAAATATCAATAACCTCAGATATGCAGGTGACACCATCCTTATGGCAGAAAGTGAAGAAAAACTAAAGAGCCTCTTGATGAAAGTAAAAGAGGAGAGTGAAAAAGTTGGTTTAAGCTCAACATTCAGAAAATAAGATCATGGCATCCAGTCCCATCACTTCAGGGCAAATAGATGGGGAAACAGTGGCTGACTTTATTTTGGGGGGCTCCAAAATCACTGCAGATGGTGATTGTGGCCATGAAATTAAAAGACCCTTGCTCCTTGGAGGAAAAGCTATGACCGTCCTAGATAGCATATTAAAAAGCAGAGACATTACTTTGCCAACAAAGGTCTGTCTAGTCAAGGCTATGGTTTTTCCAGTAGTCACGTATGGATGTGAGAGTTGGTCTATGAAGAAAGCTGAATGCCGAAGAATTGATGCTTTTGAACTGTGTTGTTGGAGAAGACTCTTGAGGGTCCCTTGGGCTGCAACCAGTCCATCCTAAAGGAAATCAGTCCTGAATATTCATTGGAAGGACTGGTGTTGAAGCTGAAACTCTTAACACTTAGGCCACCTGATGAGAAGAAGTGACTCATTTGAAAAGACCCTGATGCTGGGAAAGATTGTAGGTGGGAAGAGAAGGGAGTGACAGAGGATGAGATGGTTGGATGGCATCATCAGCTCAATGGATACAAGTTTGAGTAAACTTCGGAAGTTAGTGATGGACAGGGAAGCCTGGCATGTTGCAGTCCATGTGGTCGCAAAGAGTCGGACATGACTGAGCAACTGAAATCAACTGAATACATATAAATGGAATCTAGAAAAGTGGTACTGAAGAATTTATTCACAGGGCAACAGTGGAAAAACAGACATAGAGAATAGACTTGTAGACATGGGGAGAGGGGAGAAGAGGGTAAGATGTGTGGAAAGAGTACCATGGAAACTGACATTACCATATGTAAAATAAATAGCCAATGGGAATTTGCTGTATGGCTCAGGAAACTCAAACAGGGGCTCTGTATCAACCTAGAGGGGTGGGATGGGGAGGGAGGTGAGAGGGAGGTTCAAAAGGGAGGGGATATATGTATACCTATGGCTGATTCATGTTGAGGTTTGACAGAAAAAAATCAAAATTCTGTAAAGCAATTATCCTTCAAGAAGAAATAAATAATTTTTTTTTAAAAAGCCCATGCCTTTTCTAGTGTGCTGAGTCATCTCTGACTCTGCGACTGCCTGGACTGTAGCCCTTCCACTGCCCCCCACCCCCCGGCTCTTCTGTCCATGGACTTTTCCAGGCAAGAATGGAGCAGGTTGCCATTTCCTGTCTAGGTGATCTTCCCTACTTATGGATGGAACCCTAGTCTCCTGTATCTCCTGCATTGGCAGGCAGATTCTTTACCACTGTGCCACCTGGGAAGCCCTGCCTTTTCTAGAGTTTCATATAAATAGAATCAGGCAGTACATAGTCTTTTGTATTTAATTCTTTCTCTTATAATGTTTTGAGATTCATTCATATGTCATTCCTTTTGAGTAGAATTCCATAGTACAATTTAGGTATCTGTTCACCAGTTGATGAACATTTGAGTTACTTGTACTTTTTATTTTTGTGACTAACTCTACTAAGATCATTCACATACAAGTTTTTGCATAAACATAGTTTTTGTTTCTCTTGGATAAATACCTAGGAATAGGGTTGCTGGCCTATATGGTGTGTGTGTGTGTGTGTGTGTGTGTGTGTGCTCACGCGCATGTGCATGAAGAATATGCTTAACCTTTCAAAATACTACCATACTGTTTTTAAAGGAGCTGTACCAGTTCCCATAAGCAACAGATGGGCTTCCCAGGTGTGCCAATGGTCAAGAACCCGCCTGCCAATGCAGGAGACACAAGAGATGTGGATTCGATCCCTGGGTCAGGAAGGTTCCCTGGAGTAGGAAATGGCAACCCATTCCAGTGTTCTTGCCTAGAAAACTCCATGGACAGAGGAGCCTGGCGGGCCACAGTCCATGGGGTCACAGAGTCCCAACATGACTAAGCACACATGCACATACACACAGCAACATGTGGGATTTTCAGTTGCCCCTTGTCCCTCGCAACACCTGATGTCCGTCCTTTTAATTCTAGTGATTCTAGTATGTATGTAATGGTATCTTATTGTGATTTTAATTTTCATTTATCTAGTGGTTACTGATTCTGAGCACTTTTCATGTACTTATTGGACATTGATATATATCTGGTGAAGAGAGCCCATCAAATGTCATTTAGGCATTTATTAAATAACTGCTATGTGCTGAGGGCTATCTAGATGCTGGAGATTTTTGCAAGTGGGCTGGCTGTTAGCGACTTTACTGAGAGGCTGAGAGAAGCCTAAGAGTTGACAGCCCTCCAGGGAAGGCAATAACACTGCCCATATAGAAATACTCCATGGTCCATGGGGAAGAAAGTTCCCGGAGAACCACACTCTCAGAGAGATTTCCTCCTGGGTGGCCCTTGGTTATTAACCCTGCTTTCCAACTTCCAGGTCCCCGCTTGGCCAGGACGCTTCCATCCTCTGAAACCTGCCTTATCAAATCTCCCTGTCTCGCAGGAAACCCCACTCTCTACCCAAGGCGGCTGTTGTCTTCCCTTCCATTCCCGCCCTCCCAGCCGTACATTTCCCGGAGTCTGGGTTCTTCAATCCAAACTTTAATCCCAGAGCCTCAGCAGAGCAGTGCCTGCAGCATTCGGCACTTTGGTCCCTTGGGTGATGGTGTTCGCTGTGAACTAGGCTCCGTCCGGGGCTCCCAGATTCCTGCTGTCCTCCTGATTGTCCACATCATCTTTATCACACACATACTGTTCTTCCCCAAAACAAACCTTCCTTCTTAAACAGTCCATCAAGCCCCTTAAAGAAGAATAAAATAGTTTCCCGAACCGCCTCCCTATTTCTGAGCATCCTCACCCACACTGATGCTAATAATTCACATGACAGTGAAGAACAGTATTCACCCCCTTCCTTCCCCTTCCCCGCCCACCACCTGGCCCCACCTCGGGGGTGCCCCCTGAAAGTCTGTTATTAAAGGGGAAGCCATTGTGAAGCTGTGCATTTCTTCTTGGCTGGGCCCTTGGTTCATGAAGATTGGCCCCATGCTCTGAGGTGTTAGGGAGAGAGGGAAGGGGCATCCCTGGCACATCGTGGCCAGGTAGAGCTCCTCGGGGGCCGCACCGGAAGCAAAAGGCGCGTGGAGTCTGAGAGCCGGAGCGTCCCGCCCAGCCTCTCCCCTATGTGCTCCCCGTCGCCAAGCTGGGAGCCCCCTCCTCTGAGCTTTGAACCCCGGCTGTGCTTGGCCTGAGCGGGGGGGGGGGGGGGCAAAGGGGGCACTCAGGGAGCCCTCTGACCCCAAGTCTCCCTAGCCTCATGCCCAGAAAGTCCACGCCGGGCGGAGTCCTCCTCTGGGCCGCGGAGCAGGCAGGGCCTCTGTGGCCCGTTACCGAGTGGTCTGAGGAGTGGGGGGCGAGCGGGGCTGTGGCGAGCCCTCTGGCCCTGCGGGTCCCCCGAGGAGCCCGGCCAGTGCCACCCGAGGCGGAGTCCTGGCTCCAGTTTCTCCCACAGCCTGGGGACAGCAAGTGGCCTTCCAGGCTGAGGAGGCCTCCTAGGGGCCCGAGGTCACAGGTCCCGCTGCTTCCTGTGGGGCCACAGGAGAGGGCGTGAGATCTGAGGAGGTCTGGGACCAGAAGGCAGGCTCGCCTCACTCCAGTGAGGGCCTGTCCCGGGGGAGCTGGCTGTGGAGGGGACATGAGACCCTGTGGGTCGTGTCCTTAGCGCTGTCCCTAGGCAAGTCCACCCCGCCCCCACCCCAAAGGCAGGCCGGCCCTGGGGAAGCAGGGCTAGCGGTGATGCCAAGGACTCCTGAACAACAACAAGAAAGACACCTGGAACCAGGGCCTCAGGAGTAGGGGAGGCAGGAGGAGGGGGTGGGAGGCCAACAGGAGCCCCCAGTTCTGAGAGCTGGCTGCAGGGGTGGGGGGCTGTCTGTAACCTGAATTCCCTCTAAGCTCCTCAGAGTCATGAAAGGATTAGAGAAAAGGGGCAGGGAACATTTTTTTTTTAAAGTGTCACTCATAACAAAAGATAATTGATTAAATATCAATAACTCGAGAAAATAACAGCTGAGAAAGTGTTTGAAACATAAAAGCCTGGCAGGAGATGCTTCTGAAATCAGCAGTGTCTGAAAGAATGAATGAGATAGCCGTGGCCATGACTCACCCCGGGAGAGAAAGTCCACAAAGCTAGGTGGCTTCCAGCCCCACCTCCCCTTGCCCGAGAGGGAAACATTCCTAGAGACAAAGGCCCACAGAGTTAGAGAGGCAGACCCCTGAGCTGCCCATCTGAGAAGAGCCCAGAACGTAGGTCAGCCAGAGGGGCAGGCCGGGGGGCAGGTACCAGGAGAGGGGAAGTGGCCGGAGCCTGAGGACAGCCTCCCGGGGCCTGGGGCCCCGACGGGCTCAGAAGAGCGGGCATCAGTCTGTATGGCCAGCCCGGCGTCTCGCTGTGTACTCCAGCATCGAGACCTCAAGGTAACTGACATCATTCTGTGAAACCCGAGGGTCCTGCCTAGAAGGCATCGTCCCCTCTTCTCCAACTGAACTTGGGAGACAAAGCCTTTTATGTGTTCCTAAACTTGCTAAGATCGTTTCTGCCCCAGGACCTTGGTAACTTGCAGGTCCTTTCTGCTGAATAACAGTGATGCCCCAGATGTTCACATGGTGGCATCCTTGCCATTATCTGGGTCTCAGAGATGGCGAAAGCAAAGCACATCTGGGACTTCCCTGGCGATCCATGGTTGAGACTGTGCACTTCCAATGCAGGGGCACGGGTTCCGTCCTTGGTTGGGGAACTCAGATCCCACAGGCCACATGGCATGGCTAAAAAAAAAAAAAAAGTAAAGCACATGTGAACTCTCCAGCCTGTTATCTTGATTTTCTTCAAAGTACTTACTGCTCTCTGGAAGTGACTTTTTATTCATATCTGCCTTTTTGTTTTCTGTCTTCTGTCCCACACAATCACCTCACCCCCAGAAACTCAGTTCCTTGAGACAGGCCGATTTGCTCAGCCCTGAATCCCTACACGTACTTCCACACTGTCAGACATGCACAGTACTCAATACCTATTTGCCAGGTGCTGAATAGATTGTATGTTAGTAAAATGGCTCTTTCCTAAGGGCTCCAAATAATATGGTTTGATTATACCACAATTTTAAACGAAAAGGTCAAAGTGATGTGTTATGTAGACCATATGATCTTAGTGATGTTAAGCGTCTCCTGTGCCAGTGTGTGAAGTCCATCAGTTTCAAGGTTTCAGACGTGATCTCAGAGTTGAGGTCATGGGACATGTCCTCTGCTTCTTTGCACTTTGTTGTGATTTAGATGTATTTCTCAATGAATAGTAGCTTTTCAATAAAAAGCAAAAGTTAAAATTTGTCGGAGGAGGCCCCCTCTTAGGGGGAAGCACAGTATTGATGCCTTGTTGGTAAATGCCCTGGATGGCCACTCTACCCCGTTCACATGGAATCACATCCATCAGGGTCACGATGAGACTGGCGTTCACTTGGTCCTGTGGTGAGTTCCCCAGATCAGCAGTGACCAGCTGCCACTTTACCTGTAGCCAGCACTGTGATTTTCATCCACTCTGGCTTTTTTCAGCCTTCTCTATTTCACCAGGAAAGTAAGGGATTGGAACAAATAAGTTCAGACACAGGCTTCCCGTGTGGCTCAGCTGGTAGAGAATCCGCCTGCAGTGCAGGAGACCTGGGTTCCATCCCTGGGTCAGGAAGAGCCCCTGGAGAAGGGAAAGGCTACCCACTCCAGTATTCTGGCCTGGAGAATTCCATGGACTATATAGTCCATGGGGTCACAAAGAGTCGGACACAGCTGAGCAACTTTTTTCATGTTGAAGTTCAAACACCTGTTCCGATAATTATCCCTAAAGACAAACCCTTTTAGAAATGCCCCACAGAAGAGTCCAGGATTCCACGGATATTCCCACAAAGGATGGTCTCCCAGGACTTGGGGACCTGACGGAGAGACCTTGAATCCGTGAAGACACATACAGAATAACTGGGGCACCTTCCTGGAGTGGAGGTTCATGGCTTCCATCTTATTTGCCCAGGGGAGGGCTGGTTCTCAAACGAAGGGCAAGAATCAGCTGCTGTCAGAGTCCCCAGCAAGCCCTTTCCAGAAAAGTCTGGTTAACTAGTGTCCAAAGTCAGTCTCTGTATGCCCCAAAGCGCAAGGACGGCACACATGTGACTCGGGGCTTCCTGCCAGGGTAGGTGTCACAGGAGGGCAGGCAGGCAGGTGTCAAGCTCGGGGGGGGGGGCACCTCCTCCCCATGCCCAGCCCTCCACAGAGCTTACCAACCACACCTGATGGAGGAGTTGAAGCGCACAGCTTCTGTCTGAATGATATAAAGCCTTTTATAAAGGCTTTATATAAAGCCTTAGAGTTTTCCCCCAGAACTGTGCCAGCCTACCCCTCCCGCATGACCTGTGGTCTCTCATTGGCTTGTGGGTCCCTTCTCGGGGAGCCTCCTCGGACCTGCACTCCACGGTGCCTCGCCAGGGGGCATGCGGATACCCGTCAGCTTCCTCCGGGCGGCGCTTCAGGGAGAACTGTGTAGCTTGGGCGTACAGCGTCTCCTCCACACTAGAACACAAGGCAGGAGCCAGTTCCGCTGTCTCCTCGCTGTGCACGGCGAGTCTCGGCTGAACGGAGCCAAAGTCCGGAACCAGGGACGTGGACACTGTGGACGGCCACCCAAAGCCTGCTCCGCAGGACTGTTGGTCCTTAGGGCTCCCGGCTGACTTCCTTTCTGGGGAGACTTAACCAAAGGGGCTTAACCTCACTCCTTGGGAGGACTCCAGGGCGTCCACGTGCGAGTTGGGGATACAGACCCACTTTCCCGGGGGCCTCCGCCTAATATAGTTGCTGTCAGGAGGGGCCTGAGGAAGTGGCTCGTAACCTGAGAGTTTGAAGCTGAGTCAAACCGGCCAGCTGAACTGAAATGGTCACAATTTTCGTAAGAGGGAGAGCTGAGCCTCTGGTGCAGAAGGGATGCCCTGTGAGAAGTCACCGCAGCGCTAAAGGGATGGGAGCCCAGCAGGGGGCGCTATCTGCAGTACTTGAAAGGACCCCCGTATCTGTTGGTGGTTGCCAGGGGTTGCCAGGACAGTGGATCAAGACCGTGAAGCCCCGGGCTGAGGGTCAGAGGACCTGCTTGGCAAGCTGTAGAGAAACTAAAACTCTTGTCTCTTGAAGCCAAAGGTCAGAAATAGCCGAGGCTCTAATTCAAAAATCATTTTAAAGGCAGCGCAGCTCCAGAGAAGGTTTGTTTCTCACCTCCAGAAAGTCTGGTGTGCCAAGAGGAAGCATCCGATTCGGGAAGGGATGGGACTGAGATTTTGAAGACGAAGACATCTGGATTGATGTGCTCAAATATCTAAAATCCTGCATGCCCCCGGAATCTTCTGGTCTTCCAGAAGCGGTGCACTCGTCCCTGCCAAAGGGATAGAGTTTCCCCTTTGCTCAAAGACGACACAGAGGTCACTTCACTTCAGGCAAGACAACACACGCCTTTCTCAGGGTCTTCCCCATTAGCCCCCTGCTGGCCCCAGACCACTCACTAGGGTCAAGTCACAACATCTCCGACCTGGGCCTGCTTGGCCCGCTAAGGAAGCAAGGGTCTGGACCCCACAGGAGCGGCAGGACCCAGCAGAGCCTGGAGACCATGCATGGGACTCATCCCAGCATGCTGGGTCAGCAGGGGACAGAATGAAAAGCTAGATGAGGGAGAGTTGATCAAGATGGGAGGACTTTCCCAACATAGGATTTATGACCCTGGCAAGGGCCCTGGGAGATGGAACCAACAATTTTAGCTATTTGTATGGTTCTTGAAAGCCTACCCAAAGCCGTGGCCTTCACTAAGTGAAGGAAAACCACCAACCTTGCCACGGGAGATGGTAGAGGAAAGGGTCGAAGGGCTCAGAGAAGTAGGCCTGCTAGATTTGATAAAGTAAGGCCAGCAAACCCACCAGCTGACTTGCTTCCATGGAAGGTCCTGGAGGAACACTGTTTTTTTTAATTACTTAGTTTATTTATTTTGGCTGTACCGAGTCTTAGTTGAGGCATGCGAGATCTTTAGGCTGCAGTATGTAAACTCTTAGCTGTGGCATGTGGTCTCTGGTTCCCTGTTACTGAGTCACTCGTCGTGTCTGACTCTTTGCGACCCCATGGACTGCAGCACACCAGGCTTCCCTGTCCTTCGCTATCTTCCGGAATTAGGTCAAAATCATGTCCATTGAGTCAGTGATACCATCCAACCATCTCATCCTCTGTCATCCGCCTCTTCTCCTGCCTTCAATCTTTCCCAGCATCAGGGTCTTTTCCAATGAGTCAGCTCTTCACATCAGGTGGCCAAAGGATTGGAGCCTCAGATTCAGCATCAGTCATTCCAATGAATATTCAGAGTTTATTTCCTTTAGGATTGATTAGTTTGATCTCCTTGCTATCCAAGGGACTCTCAAGAGTCTTCTCTAGCACCACAGTTTGAAAGCATCAATTCTTTGGCACTCTTTATGGTCCAGCTCTCATATCCACACATGACTACTGAAAAAACCATGGCTTTGACTAGACGTTTATTTGTTAGCAAAATGGTGTCTCTGCTTTTTAGTATGCTGTCTAGGTTTGTCATTGCTTGTCTAACCAGGGATCAAACCCAGGTCTCTTGCATTGGGAGCGTGGGGTCTTAGCCACTGGACCACCAGGGAAGTCCCCTGCATCACTTCTTTTACTGCAGCAATGACTGGTGAGGCATGCACTCAGCTGTGGCAGGAGATGCTGTTCTAAGTCTGGGCTCCTTCCTAACAAAGGGGATGATGGGTTCTCAGAACAATAGACGCCAAGTAGCAGCGCTTATAGATCAGAAACAAGGCAGATACAATTACAGTCAAGAGCGGCAGAGTTGGGGTGGTAGCCAGGAGGAGCTGACATGCAGACAGCTATGGAAATGGCTAACAGAGCACAGCATTCCTGGGGGCCAGATGGACGGCCAGCCAACAAGCTTTAAGCAGTCAAAGAAAGACAACCCAGAGTTTTAGAGTATCTGCCCCAACAAAATGCCTCAATCCCTTACTTTTCAGACTTGGACCCCACTGACTGATGGAAAGCCCAGATTCCTATCACTGCCACTGTATACAGTTGCAGTCCTGAGCAGTCTTTCTCCATACTGACCTAAATTCACTCATCCGGGCAATGTTATACCAGGGGAGGATATATATAGGGCCAGGGGACCTAAAGCACCATCTTCACCCCTATTAGAATGAGGGCATTCAGGGTTGGTGATAAACAGAGTTCAGACCAAGCTTTGCTTAGGTTAGGCTTAGGTTTGTTCAGATTTTGTGAGTTCCTCTGAATCTATTGACCCAGTTGGTCATCATTTCCCAAGCCCTTAAATGCACAGTTGAAATGGACGTATTACCAGGTGGGATAACCCCCGTGTTGGCCAGGTCTAGACTGTGGAATAAGAGCCACAGCAGTGAGGAAGGCTGCCTGGGAGCCCCCCGATATGCCCCCCCCAACTGAGCCACAAGGGTAAACCCAAATAACACTATACTGGCATGAGTGACAGCGGTTATATGAATGGGTTCTACCCCACTCTTAAAATGGATCATTTTCCCCATCACATATCCATTCATCAGTCTAGCTCCTATAAAATTCAGATGGATCCCGGAAAATGACAGTGGACGACTGCAAACCCAAGCAAGCAGTAGCCCCAGTTACGGAGTCTTTGCTAGAGCAGGTCAGCACAGTCTCAAATCCATGGTCCACACTTTTCCATCCCTACTAAAAAGGAGGACCAGAGGCAGTTTGCATTCATTAGGATGGACAAGAGGACAAACTGGTGGTCTTGCCCCAGGATTATGTTAACTCTTTTCCCTCTGCCTACATGGGCTGGACTGCATAGTCTGGACTGTCTGGGCACTCAGCATGACATCATATTGGTCCAGCATATTGATGAAATTATATTAATTAAGCTGGATGAACAAGAGGAAAATACATCAGAGACTGGTAAGATCTATGTGCTGCAGAGGGTGGAGGAGAAATCATGGGATCATTCAGGATACTGAAACGCCAACATTTAAGAGTCCAGTGCTTTGGAGAATAGCAAACGTCTGCTCCAAAAGAAAGGACAAATACTACATCTCGTACTCCACACCACTAAGAAGGATGCACAATGCCTGGTAGCCTCTTTGGATGCTGGAGGCAGCACGGGCCACACGTAGGAATAATGCCTAAATACATTTGCTGACAAAGGTCCGTTTAGTCAAAGCTATGGTTTATCCAGTAGTCATGGATGGATATGACAGTTGGACTATAAAGAAGGCTGATCGCTGAAGAATCTATGTTTTGAATTGTGGTTCTAGAGAAGAACTCTTGAGAGTCCCTTGACAGCAAGGAGATCAAACTAATCAAACTAATTTCTAAGGAAATCAACCCTGAATATTCACTGTAAGGACTGACGCCAAAGCTCCAATAATTTGGCCACCGGATGCAGAGTCAACTCGTTAGAAAAGACCCTGATGCTTGGAAAGATTGAAGGCCGGAGAAGGGGGTGACAGAGGATGAGAGGTTGGATGGCATCACCGATTCAATGGACATGAACTTGGACAAACTGGGAGTTAGTGAAGGACAGGGGAGGCTGGTGTGCTGCAGTCCTTACGGTCGCAAAGAGTTGGACATGACTAAGCAACAACATTTACCAAGTGGCTCCGGGAAAAGTCTCAGCACACCTCTGAGTGGGTCCTAGAACTAAAAAATTCTAGCAGATGCAGGCTGTGGTATAAACATCCCTACCACTTACTCCATACAATCTGGAAGGTTCTATGGTTATAGAGGTACCTATGCTGGGAAAAGAGGCCGTATTCCTTTAAAGCACTCAGTTCAGTTCAGTCACTCAGTCGTTTCCAACTCTTTGCGACCCCATGGACTGCAGCGCAGCAGGCCTCCCTGTCCATCACCAGCTCCCAGAGTTTGCCCAAACTCATGTCCATTGAGTCAGTGATGCCATCCAACCATCTCATCCTTTGTCATCCCCTTTTCCTCCTGCCTTCAATCTTTCCCAGCATCAGGGGTTTTTCCAATGAGTCAGTTCTTTGCCTCAGGTGGCCAACGTATTGGAGCATCAGCTTCAGCATCAGTCCTTCCAATGAATGTTCAGGACTGATTTCCTTTAGGATGGACTAAGCCTGTGATAATATTATGACAAGCCCCTAAAGGAGAATCACAGAAGCCTAGGGTTCTGGAGCATGGCCACACACTACCTGCAGCCAAAACCAATGGCTGCTGGCATGCCTCTGTACCCTAGCAGAGATGGAGCGCCTGACCACAAAATGCCAAGTGGTCACCAGGCCACTAGAGCTGGGCTCCCCCAGACCCTCCAAGTCACATGGTCAGGCACAACCAACAGCAACCCCCAGAAGAAGAAAGTGGTACTTCAGGAGAGGGCACAAGCAAGGCCAGCAGACAGAAGGAAACCACACAAAGGGCTTCCCTGGTCATCCAGTCATTAAGAATCTGCCTTGCATACAGGAGACTTGAGTTCGACCCCTGGTCAGGGAACAAAGCTGCAGGGCAAGTAAGCTTGTGTGTCGCAGCTACTGAGCCCACATTCCACAACTGAAAGTCCGTGTGCTCCGACAAAAGATCC